ATGGATGGATGGATGGATGGATGGATGGATGGATGGATGGATGGATGGATGGATGGATGGATGACAACTGTAAGAATACTGTATATATAAATGTTTAAAAAGTAGAATTATTAAGAAGGAAAAAAAATTCACACTGATGACTGATTGCATTTTCTTAAAGGTTTTGATTGGGGGAATTGAATTAGGGGCGCAGATGATCTCCAGAGGCCCTCATCCCCCTCAAATAATCAGCTTTGGGCCTCTTATTTACTATTCCCCAAAGAGCATTATTTAATTGCTTAGTGTTAATTAGAGATGTAAACGGGTGGGCCTACAGCATCCCATTGCCATTTACTTTTAAAGCCATTTGGGACTGGCTTGCCACAACATGCCATCTCCTGGGCATCGCTGATTTCATCATCAATTGCGAACAACAAACAGAACATCGTCCCTGTTATCCTTCGCGGAAGTAAATCAAAGAGCTTCTGTTTGGAAAGTGGGACTACGAGCAACTCAAATCACCTACAGATGAATGGGATTATCCCTTTTTTGTTTTGGTGTTCCTTTATTCGTCTGTGAAGAGTTGTAATGACAAACAAGGAGCAGTTTACAGAGAGCCAGAGTGGCAGACGCACATTGTGCTGTACGCACACAGTCACATGTGCAGCCATCTTGTGTCCCCAGTCTGTCTGAGTGATAAAGGTTCTCAACGTGCCTGAGACAAGAAGAGAGGAATTCTCTGGGGAATTAGCCAGATGCTGAATCCATTATAGCTCACAATGTTATTATAATGTGTTCAGATAACATTCTATTGTGAGTAAAATATTAATATCGTTGCTTCGTTTCAAGAGTCTATCTTACATGAGTAACAGTCTTCTTCTATAAAGACAAAAAATAGGTCAAAGGGAGGAGAAAGCTGTCAGGGCTGCAAAAATGATTCATTTTGTGTATATAAATTCAACCTTTGTTTAAGCAAATGCTCCTGCAACATGTGAAAGTGTACAATATCTACTAGCAAAAATAAATAAAAAAGGGGAGCTTGCATGTAGTGCCACCATGGCAGCGGTAAAAGCCAACAGGCAATTTTCTCTGTCCACTAATGACAGACTTCTGTGCTTCATGGGTGGGGGTTGTCGGTTGGCTCACTACTCACTTAAACATAGCATCAAACATACGGTGTGGAGTCATGGTTTGTGAAATAATGATGCAAAGTGCAGCTTTTTCTGAACAAATGTTCAAGTATTCCATCACAGTCGTTTTGCTGAGGGACATAAATGGTTACAAAACAAAATGACAACAGTTAAAGTCATGCAACTGCTACATGTTGAGCCCGGAAGTCCTTTATGAAAATAATGATTCATGTCAGGGCATAACTTGCTATATTACCAATGACGTAAACTGGTAAGAGTAGAGAGTTTGAATGAAGACAAGACATGACATTATCGTAGTAATGTTTTTTTTTTATCTAAAGCTTAAAACAAACCCAGCGTCATTCTATAGGTTTAGTTCTGTTTACTCACCACAAGCAGATAAAAAATCAGTTTATCGAGTGAAAACATGAGCAAATAAAGTTATTTATCTTCTCAATGTGGGTGACACTTTAATCCCTTTCATGTTTGGTTGGTTTATTCCTCATAGCATAYGTCCTGCTCTCAAACAGTTCAGGCATTTTTCACATTCTACTCATTTAAATAAAATTTTATTTAAAAAAAACAGCGTACCCTTTACCCTATTTGACAGAAAGCTGTGTTTGCTTTTCTTTTGGCTGATCACTTCAGCAGAGGTCACCACAGCAAGTGAACTCGCTTGAAAGATTTAAAGATTGTTTTGCACCGAATGGCCCCTTCCTGAAGCCACCTGGGTCAGGGTTGGCACTGATCACCAAGCTACTTCGACCCATTTCACACACAAAAAACAAGAAAACTATTTTCCTACATACTTTTTTTTTACCTGTGCACTGCTGGCATTCCTTTACAGGCTTGTTGTTGTTTTTATGGTCGACCCGCAGTGGGGATTCAATGAAACATTTCCATCTAAATATAAAAAATCACTTTGATGTCACCTCTGCATGCCAACTGGACAGATGGCCTTTCATCTGAACCATATAGCCATGAGAGCTGTGCGCTCAGTTTTTTTTTTTTACACCTCATTTAAAGAGGATGAACACAGAGCTGCCATCAGCATCACATTAAAACCAACAACAAGTTAGATCTGGCAGTGATGCTGTTTGAATGTTTAGCAATGCACTGTCACACTTCTTTTCCCTGAATAAACATTTGGTTAGCTGCTGGCTAAGCTTCAGCATTGTACACAGTATATTTCTAATACATATTTAAAACAGCTGTCCAATGCAGCACCATGTCAAAAAACTAACCAAAGATTGCATTTCTTTTAAAAATAATCAAATAATGAAATTTATTCATGTCTGATCTGTTGTGTTTTATCCTTTAAAATTTGCAGTGAAACTTCTGACTAAGGTCCTTTTATAAAATAGATATTAACAGTTTCAAAGTGGGTTACTTACAAGTTTGTAAACACTTTATAAAGCATTATTGAAGTATAAGCAGTATTGAACTGGTGTACATGTGTTTTATAGATTTTATAAAATGTTTTCCTTTACGCTTTATATTTTCTTTATTTGTTATATTTTATGCTTATTGCACCTTTACACTGAAGCAAATTCCTAGTCTGTGAAGCCTGTTCATTGACAATGGTATTAAAACTGATTCTGATTAACAATCATTTATAAAACATTTACTTCTAAGTTATCATTTAAACGTTAAAGGTTACGCTTTTCGGCAGCATCAAAAATGGTACTTTTAGGTGTAATTTACTGCTAGCTTTTTAGGTTAGTTTTAATCAAATAACCTTACATGACAAAAACAAACTTATCTACAAATATTCAGTGCTTTCATGAAGGTCACTTTCAGACCATTGTTCAATTTTTAAATCTACAATATGAAGAAATTATTAAAAATTCAGCATTTGATCTTGCCAAAAAAGGACCTTGCTATGCTGTATAAACAGTGTTTTTAGCTGTTTTATGAATGATTGGCAATGCTTCATCAAGTGTTTACAAACTCATAGGTAATATATTTATAACACATTAATAAATACTTAATATTATGTATGTTTGGGATATATTTGTTAACAGAGCTTGGAAAACAGATACGTTTGAAACTAGATATGAAACAAAGAAAAAAATATTTAAAGTCAAATCAGAATATATTCAGTTAGCTATAAAATATTAAAACCTACAATAAATCCTTGTTTAAATACTAAATCTTTAAATCTTTTGTTTTGATAACATCTATAAATGTCATTAAAAATAAACAGGATGCCATATAAAAGAAATAAAAGACCATTACTAAGCAAAATAACATCCCTTTATCTAAACCAAATACTTCTGTTGTTTCATGATAGAAACAATAAAAGCTTCTGAGTTTTAATTAGTGTATTGAGCTTTTTATTTGATTACTTTTAATTGGCATAAATTATTAAAAGCTCAACCAGGCTACATAATATTGTTTTTTTTTTTCAAGTAAAGTCAAAACGTCTTGTTTGAAAGCCTGGCATTATCCTCTGTTAGATAAGCCCACTTTAGTTGTGTGCATCAGTAAGAATATTAAATAAGTACTTTTGTGTTTTGCATTAAAGCCTGGGTTTATTTATCGTGAATAAGTCATTGTGGACGTCATGGGGAACAAACAGGCATAGAGTTATAATCTAATTTGTACTGGGCTGATGAAACCCAGTGGTGGCGGCTCAGTCAGCAGGTTTCTCTTCGGTTTGAGTTCTCGGAGTTCCTGCAGACAGAAGCACCTGTCCCTGACGTGACAGACCAACAGACATTTGAAAACTGCCACCTGTCTTCTCAGTAGTGCAGGGATTGCTCAATTCTTGAGCATGTGGATTACAGGAATTAGTCGAACATGGAAAATCTCCAGGAAGACGATCTCACTGTCAAACAGCGGGGTGAACCCCATGAGTAGAAAGGTGGGAGTTTATTGGTCCAAACAAGACAACTGTCTCCTACAGTGAGACAAATATGTAATGATGGTGGACTCCAGAGTGTCTTATCACTGAGCCTTGTGAGGAGAAAATAAAAAGTGGGAGAGAGTCCACACTTAAAAATTAATTGCAGCGCTCAGTAATAACCTTTTGTGCAGACACACACTCGGGGGGGAAAGTGGAGCACGAGGGGGATTCTTAAGGCGCCTCGGGGGGTGATCCAAGAGATGGGAGCTGGTGGCCTGAGCGGCCCGTGCTGACTGGTGCTGAGGCAGGGCCAGCTGTTCCGTTCACTTGGCAGCATGTGTGATGTATGGAGCTGGTTTTACTCTCCACTCATTAAACGGTTTTCTAAGATCAGGGGGTTGTGTTTGTGTTTTACTGTTAGGATTTTCTACCTTAGCATCTGTTGAAAATTTATCAAAGAAAAAAATGTATCAATAAGTTTTTTTTTTTTTTTTTTTGCTATTCATCCCTGAATTCATAAAGTGGTTATTTTTCCTGTGGACTTTCTCTCCTTTTTGAAGACGTACCACTACACACTTATTACCTCATCTAATCTGCTCCTCTCCCTGTCTGCCTGCATCTCTTTCTTGCCCTCTTTCACTCCGATTTTCCCACTTTCATGTAGGTGCGATTTCTCGAGCCTCTGCTCTCATTCTCCAGGGGTCATTCTCTCTTGTCCCCACCTTGCTGTGGACGGTGGACACCGTGGCAGCCCAGAAGCTCAGCTCATTATCGCCCACGCTGGGCCCACAGAGGCCACGGCAGTGTGGGAAACGCCCCAGCCTTCGTAGCTGACCATCAGAAGGCGCTGAGCCCCTTTTTGTCCCCCTTCTATGCTCGTTTGTGTTGAAACATATAAATATGTTGTAAAAATTGTTTAATAAGCCATAAAACATTACAGCAAGGATATTTTCACAGCTCAMGATCATGCGACTACCATTTTTATTTCTTCAAAATGAAGTAAGACAGTAGAGTCACCAGCAAAAAGAATAGTCTTGACTCACCTTCTCCTGGTACTGTCGCCGAGATGAGTCCAGAGACTGGATTAGTGCTGTGGCATGGCCCACAAACATGGCATAACAGGTTGCCCCCACGATCATGCTGAGGATGGTCAGCCAGACGTCCGTCATGCCTACTGGGGGGTACATGCCGTACCCGATACATAACATGTGGCTCATAGCTTTGAAAAGTGCGTAGGAGTACTGCTGTCCCCATGTGTCATTCTGAATGGAACAGAAGAAACGGGGTGAGTTAGGGGTGAGTGGGACACACACTGGTTCTCCATCAGATTACTGTGTTGATTACACATTAAAGGTCAGTGATTAACTTAACAGCACACACACATACACATCCAATAACTTAGCACAGAACTAAAGGCAGTTGTCAATTTCATACAGCTTGAGTTCAGTGCAGAGAAGCTGGCAGGGCAAAACATACTTTTCATTGTGCAGACATTTGGAGCGAGCAGACGTTTGGACAAAAGCCTGAAAGCGAGCCTTGAGAACGGGCAGAAAGAGTGTGAGACACTGGAGGCTTCCGGGACAGAAAGTAGGTCAGCTATTTAGAAAAATGTGACTTCACTGTGAGTTTTCTCATTTGTAGATAAATTGCTCCTTTTGCTTTAGTTCCCAATGGTGGTTCATGGCGAATCAATATCAACTCTCTCCTGGGGGCAACATGTCCAAATTGCTTTCAAACTCATTTCCACTGCAGAAAAGCTGTGACAGATAGCAATTTTATTGTTGCCTACCTGAAAGGTAAGAGGCAATGACCCGGGATAACAACAGCACAGTTACTGTTTAAAAAAAGGCCTTCTCCTCCTTTTAATTACACTCAGGCTGACTGGGAGGGAGTCYATCACTTATAACAACCTTTGTTTCTTCAGAAAATGTGAGAGCAAAACACAAGGAGGAGCTCCAAACAAAATTTAGAACATTTTTTTTGTTTGTTTAATAAGTGAAAACTATTTATTCTTTACAATGTAATTGATTAAATAGTGTTTATTATGTGAAAGAAGTATCTGTWCACACGCAGATTTTTAACACAAATTATGAATGCATCGACTTGAGATCATATAAATTAAAATCATTAAACATATGAAATCATATCCCAGGATCATATCATAAAAACACATGGTGACAAAAACATTTAACTTTATTTCTAAAATATTGTACTCAAATAATATATATCATACATATTTAAATAAATCTAGGATTTGATTAAAGGTTAAGCCTTTAGGGATTAAAAATGGTTTGTAAAACAGGAGGATTTTGTCAGTGTTAGTTATTTTAGATGTGTTTTATGGTTTAGGACTAGGTTTTTTTATTGACTGCTAAATAATAATTTACTGTTTTATGCTGGCAAAATTAGAGGAAAGATATTTAGTGGAAAAATGTATTTTTCTTCCATTTTTTCATTATTTAATGTGTTTAAAACAGAATTTAACTAAACGCATTCATGTTAAACAGGCTGTAATGTGGTGACTGGTTGGAACTTAAGCAATACCAGAATCCCAGCACGGCATCCCTCACCTTAGTGCATATCTGTGCRTGAATGAATAGAAGCTAAAATTAGAAAAAAAGTTTCCAGCATCTCTGGGGAAGCACTTTTGCAACATCTAACTGTTGTTTTGCTTAACTATAAGAGAGGCAGACTCAGTGAAACAAGTGAGCCTGTCAGGAAGGCAGCGAGGCAAGATAAGCTAAGAACATCGTATCTTGAGAGACGTAACTACCCATGTGACATCCGTTCTGGTACAGAGAGTTTAACTTACAGCAGAGCACAATCTGCTTCTTGTATGTCTGAAACTTGGCTTCTTTGAATGTTTGATTTTATGGTTATTCAAGTCCCGAATTACTCTAAAAAATACATGCGAAAATCTAGATAAGCAATACAAAGCATGTAAAGTGACTCTGTTCAAGTGTTTTGTTTTAAAATAAAAGGATTTTAGGCAAATAACAAAGATAATCTTTTGCTGAACAATAAAAAATGGCGAAAGCAAGAAGCTTATAGAGAGAAAAGTAACAAGTGTTTTGTTTTACAATAAAAGGAATTTAGGCAAATAACAGAGATAATCATTTGCTGAACAATAAAAAAATGGCAAAAGCAAGAAGCTTATAGAGAGAAAAAGTACTCCACTTTAATGTCACCAAGGGATATATTCATTCTGGCACTCCTATTTCACAAAACAAAGACTTAAACATTATGGGTTGTCCCTTATGGCATTTATACTCACATAAATACTGATAAAACAGCAGTTAAAGAACTACTCTCCTCAGCTGTGTTGTTTAAAAGTTGCATTTATGTTGATTTATTGGTACCCAGATGCCCATCTGACAAAAGCTGACAAAAACATCAGAGTAACACTCTTCTGCAGCATGCAGTGCTCACATGAAGCCAGCTGTGGTTAGTGAAACGCACATCAGATATAACCCAGTGCACTCCCATAAACTAATAAGATAAAACTCCGTAATAAGCCGGATGTAAACAAATGTTCCACTCCAGCATCTGTTTGTTGGAGAACAACAAAGTTACAAAATAAAAAATAAAAATACGCACAGCTCTCTGGTAACTGTATGATCAAATTCAGCTAATACGAGGATAAAGCCTGCCTGTCATACTCAGAAAGATTGATTGCCACAAACACGTCTTCCTTACACAAAGGTCTCCCGAGAAACAAAATTATCAGCAAACTGAATAAATGGGGGCGAGCGCAGTACATAAATATCTCTGATTTGGGGATTTAAAAATGACAGTTATGCTATTCAATCTTTCCCAGGAAGCTAAAGGGTTTCAGTGCTGTAATTACTGACGCTGATGGATGACACAAGACAGCAGCCTAATCTGATTTGACCAGGAGGCCGCGGGACTGTGCGCAGAGAAGAACTTACCACCATCTTATTTTTGGACACCCAGCAGTCGGCGGGAAAGTCCTGCAGCATGGGCACCAGGAACTGGAGGCAGCCGTCCCAGTGACACAGCAACAGCATCATCCCGATCAGGTTGACTATTCGCACCATGGCACTGGCCAGGTCATAGGTCATGTGGAAGATCTGAACGAAGAAAGCAGGAAACGGGTTAGGGTGATGACTCAACCTGCTTATTCTCAGTCCCTGAATTCTCCCCGGACCGCACGAGACGTACGCATCCTCGAGGAAGATGTGTAGTCTCAACAAGCGGCACGATGTTCTTTGGCTCTTTTCTTTGCCTTTGTCGTGTAGATTGTTGCCGGTGCTGGGATTAGACGTGCGTGCCCTGCTGACAAATATGAGCTGGTGGAAGGAGACGTTGCTGTGTGTCCAGCGGTTCACCGGGGCACGGTCAGCATACATTAACTGGGACCAGAGCAATACCTTCCAGGGGCTGCTGAATCACTTTTATCATCAGCTGCTCTGCCAAACTCAATAATGCTACAAGCAGAAGTGGATGTGCTCCAGGAGGGAGCGTGCTCACTGGGTTTGTTAATCCTTATGATAAACATACTCATAAGGAGCTGCAGGACTTCGAGACTTTAATGGCCTCAATCATACAAAAGGCTTTTAATCCCATTGAAGACCATAGTGTGCACCGCTAGCCACTCTGCTTCTTATTAAAATCCACTTGGTGCCCTTAAAGGACTCATGAGTGAGAGAGAAAATTCCAGCTTCACTTTGTTGCTCAGAGGTAGTTAATATTGATGAAAGAAGGTGAAAACATTCTCGACACTGTGATTTGAACTTAGTGTCTTTTCCTAACTGCTTATTGTTGCATTTCTAGCTGAATGCCCTCAGATGAGAGTGTGTATCTGTGTATTCTCTCTCTGTACAAACAAAAAGAGGTTAGCAGGAGCTGATGTCTGATGTACCACTTGTTACTGCATCATCAAATCGCCTTCATTTTGTTCTGTCAACAAGGGAGGAAGGTCAGGGTTATACTCAGAAACTAAAACGGACAAAGACTTATTCACTCATAAAACGCAGTGTCCTTGTTTCACCTCTGTCTCTTCCTCAAACTGTTTCGGTTTAAACTAGGAGTGTAAGAAAATATCGATACACTGAAATATCGCGGTATTTCATTTCCCAAAACTGTATCGATATTCTAAAGCCCTGTATCGATTTTTTTATTAAGATTTAAAATGTCAACTTTCCTGCCAGCCGTTCATTTTTATGTTGTAGTTCAGCCTCTGACCACTAGTTGCAGCAGTGAGCCAGACATTTGGCTCCTCTATCTCTTGAGGTAGAGGCCATTGTTAAGTGTTGGGTGACCACATTGTAAATTAATATTAAAAACTAAAAGATGCAAAAAATATATTTTCAAAATATTTATTGTCAAGTTTAGTCTAATAATTGAAAACATGGATGAAATATGAAACAAATAAAATAAAATACATACAAAGCAGAACACAGCTAAATGTATCAAAAGTATGTCTATGTAATATTAGAATTTTCTGAGACAATGAATTTTGGTTTTTCATTTTTTTTTTCCAGTAAGAGGTTTTTATTTAATACAATTTTTGGACAAAAAAATCGCAATATATCGCCTTGCTTACAGTATCGCAATATATCGGGATATATCGTATCGTGACCCCTCTGTCATGATATGTATCGTATCGCCAAATTCTTGCCAATACACAGCCCTAGTTTAAACCGTCACCTGAGCTGAACGATTCATTTAGCCGAAACATTTTCTTTCTTGACAAGTCTCCATTTTCTGCTTCTGTTTTACAAATTAACATTATGAATTCGCTTGTTTGTTTAAAGTAGCCTGCCTTTCAGATCGAGTCATTGTTACACGTGTTATGCAACGCGACGTCATCTGATGTCTGAATTCCCGATGGAGCTGTAACAGAGGTCCATGAGTTGAAAGTGTTAAATTCCCTCTGTGGTGAATGAATAAATTATGAAGACCCTCTCTCCATCTTTTGCACTGAGACTGATACATTTTTCATTTGTTAAATCGTATTTGCAGACAGGAAAGGGGAAAATCTCATGAAACGCAGGCTGCTTTTAAAACTGCAAGAGAACGCACATTTAAATACAGCTTTTACTCTGACAGATTCACATAAAACAATTGTGATTTTTACATTTGGACTTTTTACATCTATACAATCGTGCCTTTTTATGACAATATTAAACTATATAGGCAAAAAATTAGATTTAGAGGGAGACAGTTTTGTAGGCTTGCCAATTCAGCTGCTTTGAAAAATGGGACAGCTCCGCCAGGGGCGGGGCTTAATGACATAATGTGTCAATTGCAATGCTACCACACAATATATTTTTTTATTTATCCAACATTTGAGGTGCATCCACCTAAACAGGATCTTGTTTCTGTTTTTTTTCCATTTAGCATGATGGATTAAAATAAAGWTTTAATCAACACAATGTTTTTTTTCTATACAATCTTTCAGTTGCTGATGGCCCCAGTAAACAGAAGATTAAAGAAATGTAAACATAAACATATATGTTGTTGTGATTGTCAAACTTTTCTAAGCATTTCACAAAATAATTGTTCAAGCACAACATGTGTTATATGCATTTTATATGTTTTATATTGCTTATTTCATCCATGTTTTCAATGGTTAGGCCAAATGTGCCAGATGACTGCAGTTCAACAAAGGCTTGTTAATCAGTTATCAATTGAAATCTGATGTGTTGAAGCAGGGAAACATTTAAAACATGCAGGGCAGTGTGCCTTGAGGACCAGGGTTGAAAAACACTGGTCTAGGCATTTAATTTAAGACGGTACATTAGTAAAAAAAAAAACATTTGTATAATTCACTCAGTTAAATAGGTTGTTTGGCAAGAACACTAGGAAGACAGCCTTCCTAAAATTATTACAAAGGTGAGAGAACAAGCTGCAGAAATATATAAGGTGCAAAAAAATAACAAATTTATGAAAYGAGAATAATTTGGGCTCTTGGGCAAGTTTCTGTAGAAAAAGGTAGAAGAACATGAAGTGGTCAGTTCACTGACCTCTGCCATCAAATTAAACTTACATGTGACGTTAATTTGGTGCTGAAGACTAAAGATACGACGGCAAAGTTCTAATGGCTGTGTCCAGTAAATATAGTTCTGATGTTTTATTATTTTCTTGTAAGTATTCCAAACTTTTCAAAGTACAACACTTGGGCCTAACAACTACCTGCTCAGGTTCTTGGTTTAATAAATGGATTTTACTAGTAGCTAAAAAATTGCATTATGTGGCTTACATTTTAAACCTGCTAGTGTACTAAATACTATCAAACCACATAGTGTCAACACACTTCTGAAGCTGGATAAGTTCCTTTCAACATCTACCTGCATAATTGGAGTGATTTATTCCTATTTAACAAGAACTCCTGGTACATTCGTACGTTAGCTCTGCCCTCAAAAGACCTCTGTCACTTAGCTGCTGTGTGGAAAATAAAGCCTAAGGGAACTGTGACAGGTAATGCCATGCAAATCTCCAGTTTGTAACCCAGACTGTACTGTGAACTGTAGGAGGGTGAATTCCCTATCTGCCTTCACAGCTGCAGGCAATTCAAACACTGCCGTGCCAAGCAGGAACGGGCTTTTCGTTTCCCAAAAAGGAATGGGGTCCGAGTATATTCACTCCTCCTTTCACCTCTATTTTTATTACCTCCACTGGAAACAAAAAATATATACAGCCACCGACAGCAGGACCTCTGTGTTATTTAGTAATAAAATACATCATGAAACGTATGTGAACACAAACATGAAGTGTGTGTATGTGTGTGTTTGACTTTAGATGGACAGCAGTGCACAACACAGTGTTGCACAGAGGATGATGGATTGCTGACTACTTCCTTTTAATTGATAGGAACACAAAGTGAGCATGGCAATATTAGCATCAGCATAAACAGCAGCGCTTTGATTGATGAGAGCGCAGATACGCAGCACAACAGTGCCCTACAGGAGTGAGGTTTGGGCTTCTTATTATCACAAACTATGCAGCAGTTGAGATTGCCTTATTTGCTATTTTGTCTTTGTCAACTCCCACATAACATGATCACATAGYTTATAGTTAATCAGTTTCTGGGTGACGAATCTAAATTAATTAATTATTTAATTTTTTTTACCGTTATTTAACCAGGCAAGTCCCGTTGAGATCGCAGATGTCTTTTTCAAAGGTGGCCTGGGCCTGAAGGCAACCTATTGTATATGCAATCACGCAAGCACAAGGAGAAMATGCAAACTCCGCAGACCCCAAGTCCAAACCAGGGATTGAACACCTTGCTGTGAGGTGTTGGTGCTAACCTTTGAGCTGTCGTGCCGCCTTTGTATTTGTTAAAATACAAGGAACAGAGTTAGATCACGTTACAAAAACAAAATCCCCAAGAAAAAGCCACTTTCCTTACAACTCTATTTAAATGCACAGTGTATTGTATTGTTTTAACCGACATCTAGTGGTTGAGTGGTTGAATCATCCTCCCTGGTCCTCCCCCCACCCCCACCCCCCCGCTTCCAAACACAAAGGAGTTGCTACGGTGTCTCTCAGGTGTCAAAAACCTTTGATAATTCCAACCGCGATGTCTACCAGCAGCTTCAGGGCTAGTGATGTTTCAAGTGGTAAGATTATGAGCTTTAATAAGTAAAATTATCCCAGCTACAATGACAGACAACAAATATTACATTTATAGTATTACAGCTAAAGCCATTTTTGACGCCGCCACCACAGTTTGTCCTTCATGAGCCTTCGTAGACAAGATGGCGGTGCAAGATGGCGGCTGCCTGTAGTGGCGACCCGCGACCATGGAGATATAAACAGCTTTTTATAAGGTAAAAATAATAAAACAAGGTCTTTGTCTGCAATGCTTAGACATGTTTTTTTTATTATTGTCATTAGTGATTATCTCAATTTTGGCTAAAAGACTTGACAAAATCCTACACACTGGGCCTTTAATGTAACATCTTTCTATTGTTTCTTAAGTTAAATTAGTCACTAAAAGATATAATTTACAAGACAAAAACTGGGTTAGTTGTTGAAGCCTAAACTAATCTATATCCTCGTTGACCAGCACCAAGGCTCAGACAGGCAGAAAGAGGATAAAGGAAGCTGCCGAGTCATCTCAAGC